TTAGCTTTTCTCATCGTGTGCTTGTGAGTCTGCGTCACCCATATACTTCTGTGGTTGTTGACTTGGTGGATTCTGATGCCTATCGCAAAAAAAATCGCCTTGAGGAGCTGTTAGGTGCCTTATTACAGTCTCGTGACGAGGAAAGAAAATGGGTACGTGTAGCGACGATGTTTGACACCAAATTAACTGCAGAAGAGATTGATTCGTTTCGCCGAAAGATTTCTTTGCATCGAGAAATAAGATTGTGTATAGAAGCCTTGTGGGCGGATTTGGGCGGCATATCTAATGGCGCTATTTTGGAGGACAGTTACAAGGTCTTTCACTTTAGACTTTATTCGTATATTCTTAGAATTGATAATGTCAGTGTTGTAACTTCTACTTCTGCAGCTATTGCGGAAGACTTTACTTATGATAAAAGAGGCACCGTTGGAGTAGAGTTTGGTTCTTTTGCCGTTTCCATACTTGAACTGGCGGATAATTGGACTAAGACCAGAGAAGTTGAAGACTATATTAATTTTTTGAAAAGTATTCATGATAATTGTATAGTGAAAAATCGTTCTTATTCATTAAAAGAGGACACTATTCCGAGCTACAAGGCACCTGTATTTTTTTCCGGTGGTCTTGTCTGTCGAGTTCAAGAAGGTGATAATGTAGTCTATTCAAAAAAGAAGATTTAATTTTCAAAACAAATATGCCTTGAAAAAAGAAATTCTTTTTTCAAGACGAAGGGCAATAATAATTATTTGTTTATTTATTATTGCTTATATATATATATATATTTTACTTTGTTGTAATCGTTGTTGTCGTTATTTCTTTATTATTTTCTTTTGTTAGCTTCTTTGTATTTTTCATTATTTATGGATTTTTTTTTTCTTTTTATTTTTCCTTTTCCTTTTTTTTTTTTTTTTTTTTTTTTTAGTTGAATGAATTAGATGTCAGATTCTACGGAGCAGTCGGTAAGTAAACCGGAAACGAGCAAGCGTTTTGAACGCTTTTATTTGGGAAAATATACTCGGCATTCGACTTGTCCTGTATTTCTTACGCTCATTGTGTTGGCCGTGATATTTATACCCATTGGTGTTGTTGTCATTAAGGCAAGTGATTCTGTTTTTGAGTTAAGTATAAGATACGATGAGACAAATAACTATCAATACCGAGTTGGTCCCGATGATAAGTATCCGCATAAGTTTAGGTTCAATAATTCCAATTTTTCTACTGGAGCTCATGTTAGTAGAAACTTTACTCTTTTGAAAAGTCTGGCGTCCCCTATTTACTTGCAATATGCTTTAGTTGGGTTTTATCAGAATTATCGACGTTATGCATTTTCACGAGATTTGGCCCAGCGAGAAGGAAACGCCTACCTTGTTTCTGCAGCATGTGAACCTTTTCGTTTCCCTGGAGAATATCAGAACCGGAAGATTCTTGGTATTTATTTTCCATGCGGCTCAATTGCTTGGAGCCTCTTCAATGATTCATTTAGTTTATATCGATTATCTGATGCATCTAAAAGCACTATTAACTCTCAAGATTTCGAAAATGCCAAGTTGATTTGTGATGGAGGGGCATTTGACGCAGCAGGTAAAAGTTTGAATGAAAAAAACTTGTGTATAAAAAAAGGAATTGCATTGTCTAGTGATGTGAGGTTGTTTCACCCTCTAACAGATGGGAAGAAAGATAGCGCGGTATGGAGGTTTGGAGGCGATCCTGCTGCAAATGACCCTTACCAGAAAGAAGGATATTATTATGAAGAACCTGGACACCCAATTCCCTCAAATGTTGATGAAGATTATATTGTATGGTCTTCTTTATCATATATGAAAGATTTTACAAAAAAATACCGTATCATCACGACAGATTTGGTGCCTGGTAATTACTTGATTGATATCGTGGAAAACTTTGATGTTTTTTCCTTTTCTGGTGAGAAATATGTGAGTCTAGTGACACGTTCTTGGATTGGTGGGAAAAATTATGTTTTGGGTATATTATTTCTTCTTATGGGTTGTATTTCTTTCGTTCTTTCCCTAAGTTTTATAATTGTGCAGTATTTGCACTCAAAAAGATGCTAGCGTTTCCCCACTCAAACCTCCGAAACGTTTTTTTGTTTGTTTGTATGTTTTTGTTAGTTGTTTTACTTTATTGCTGTTTTGTGCGTCCGTAATGCATGTGAGCGTATGCGTGGCGTTGAATGAAATACGATATATATATATATATTGGGGTGGAACGGTTTTGGTTAGCTTTTTCATATATATTCTTGCTAAACCCCCCTCCAAAAAAAACAAAAAAAAAACGTCTTTACGCATAAAGGGAAAAAAGGAACCTTCTTTAGGAATTATTATTATTATTATTATTATTATTATTATTATTAGTATTATGAACAATATTTATCTAGGTGACTCAGGTATTTGCCGCTAATTTGAAATGATTGTCTGAGTTTTTGGGGAAACTTGAGCAGCTGCAAATATATTTGCATGCATATTGCACATGTTTCTGATATATTTAAAATATATAAATTGATCCATATGCATCTTGAAAAAACGAAGAAAAAACTCTTTGTTTTGCTAATTTTTTTTTTTTTTTTTTTTTTTTTTTTAAGGAAATATTGAATAAAAAAAGGGAATTCGAACTTTTAAATGTCGTGGCAGGCGTATATCGATGACAGCCTTATCGGCAGTGGACACATGCACAGTGCGGCGATTGTTGGTCTTTCCGACGGGAGTTACTGGGGTTATGGAGGAAACTATATCCCACAGCCTGATGAGGTTGCCCATATATTGAAGTGCCTGGGAAATTTTTCACTCGTGCAGTCCTCCGGCGTGACTATTTATGGTGTGAAGTTTTTTGGCCTTCAGTCTGGTGAAGAAGGCGAAATGAAATACATTTTTTTCAAAAAGGGTGCGGCGGGTGGATGCATCTATACGTCAAAACAGACGGCTATTATTGCAGTTTACGGGAATCCCGGAACTTCTTCGTCTCTTCAACAAGATCTTGAAAAGAAGGAGGGGGCAGAAATTGCAGTCAATCCTGCCGATTGCAACTCCACCGTGAAACGGATCGCTGAGTATCTTATCAGTTTAGATTACTAAAATGTCTTAATTTAAGGAATATTTTTTTACTCCTTATTAGCGGAAACCATATTTTGTTGTTGTTGTAGGACTTAAATCATATATATATTTGTTCCTGTCTTTTTTTTTTTTTTTTTTTTTTTGCATTTTTGTTGTCTTTCTTTAGCTTATTTATACGTTTGTACTGTTATTACGATTTTTTTTGTTGGATGACAAAAAAAAATGTAATTACTTCGTGTCATGTACTAATTTTCTTTTTTTTTTTTTTTTTTTTTTTTTTTTTG